CATCTTTGTTTCTCTCTCTCTCTGTGATCCTGTTTCATCTTTGTTCTCTCTTCTCTCTGATCCTGTATCATCTTTGTTCTCTCTCTCTGATCCTGTATCATCTTGGTTCTCTCTCTCTGATCCTGTATCATCTTTGTTCTCTCTCTCTCTGATCCTGTATCATCTTTGTTCTCTCTCTCTCTGTGATCCTGTATCATCTTTGTTTCTCTCCTCTACTCATCTTGTTATCCTGTATCATCTTTGTTCTCTCTCTCTGATCCTGTATCATCTTTGTTCTCTCTCTCTGATCCTGTATCATCTTTGTTCTCTCTCTCTCTCCTCTCTGATCCTGTCTCTCTCCTCTCCTTCTCTCTCTCTCTCTGATCCTGTATCATCTTTGTTCTCTCTCTCGCTGATCCTGTATCATCTTTGTTCTCTCTCTCTGTGATCCTGTATCATCTTTGTTCTCTCTCTCTGATCCTGTATCATCTTTGTTCTCTCTCTCTGATCCTGTATCATCTTTGTTCTCTCTCTCTCTCTGATCCTGTATCATCTTTGTTCTCTTCTCTCTCTCTCTGTGATCCTGTATCATCTTTGTTCTCCCTCTCTCTCTGATCCTGTATCATATTTGTTCTCTCTCTCTGATCCTGTATCATCTTTGTTCTCACTCTCTGATCCTGTATCATCTTTGTTATCTCTCTCTGATCCTGTATCATCTTTGTTCTCTCTCTCTCTGTGATCCTGTATCATCTTTGTTCTCTCTCTCTCTGTGATCCTGTATCATCTTTGTTCTCTCTCTCTCTGTGATCCTGTATCATCTTTGTTCTCTCTCTCTCTGATCCTGTATCATCTTTGTTCTCTCTCTCTCTCTGATCCTGTATCATCTTTGTTCTCTCTCTCTGATCCTGTATCATCTTTGTTCTCTCTCTCTCTCTGTGATCCTGTATCAAACATCCTCAGCTGGTTTACAGGCAGGCAGAGAGACATGGATCCTCCTAGGTCCTCACACACACATGCCATCCCCATCCCCAAACCCCCCCCCGTTTGACTGTCTGGGACTGGGTGTTGCTACTGTTATTTGGCTCTGCCTGCAGTTGTCGCTCCTTTTGGTTGAACGGATGGACGGTTGGGGCAGCTGTCTGTCTAACTGACCCTCAGAGGAGATTGGGTGTCCGACCAACCGGCCGGCATTCTGCAAGCAGAGCAGGGCGTCATGTGAAGGAGACGTGTGTCACATGGCAGGAGGTTGATCACTTATCTTTGATATTACAGATTTCAGGCTGATCACTTTCCTCTGCTACAGATCTGCCAGGTTTTCAGGCTGATCACTTTCCTCTGCTACAGATCTGCCGGGTTTTCAGGCTGATCACTTTCCTCTGCTACAGATCTGCCGGGTTTTTAGGCTGATCACTTTCCTCTGCTACAGATCTGCCGGGTTTCCAGGCTGATCACTTTCCCCTGCTACAGACCTGCCGGGTTTTCAGAATCAGCCCTTGTAGTGACTTTGTGCTGAATAAATATCAAATCAACCAATCAAACAAGAGGACATTATCACATATGTATTGATGATAAACAAGCCTCTCTAATGAACATAATATGCTGCTCTATAGACTTGCTGTCAGAAAATAAAGCCTGTCAAGTAGAGTCATTCTCTGTAAATATATCTGACATTACCTGGCTACCCAAACTCCTTGCTCCAGCCAAAGACTACGCCAAGCCCACAGACGTTAGTTTCTTCTCCCCAATGAGGATCTGAGTACCTCCCCGATGATTTCTAGAACGCAAACACATTCTAACTGTCCTGATTGGTCCCAGAAACCGATGGGCTGGGACCACGTGGGTAAAGCTGTGTTTAGAATATTTTGTCATTGGCTTTGATACTCTGAGTGGTTAGAGATGATCCAATCGCTGATGACTTTGTTTTGTACAACACCCCTCTATTTGACATCACCACAAATGACTTGAACGAGGGCAGTCTCAGACTGACGTATGTAGGGGATAGAGCATTGGAAGAATACAGTTTGAGTCGTCAGGCAGTATCTGACCTGCAGACCCTGATTACCCCCAGTGCACCCTGGTCTGGTCCAGGACATTACAGATCACCTGTCACACGGTCACATGGTCGGTCACTCGATAGGATTCCACCCAAATGGAATCCTATCCACCGTATAGTGCACTACTTCTGACCAGGTTCTACAGGGCTCCAGGGGACATTTGGGACGCAGAAGTCCATTACAACAGGGTATGCTGACACCAGCTACAGCAAGAGCACACGTCCCATTGTGTCATGTGTTGTTTTATCGGGTGAATGGAGAGGCTGGGGGGGGGGGGGGGGGGGGGGGGGGGGTGTTGTTGCAGGTCAGAGGTGCATTTCCTGTTAGAATCGCACCGTTTAGGGTTCGATGAGCATGGAGACAAAGTACTATATTTTACCTACAAAAGGCCATATTTTATATATTTTGACATGGTTTTAGAGTAGTTTATACATTGTTAATAATTAGCTCATAGATAGTTTCTAAATATGTATACCACAGACTATTGTGTTTAAACCATTGTGTTGTATTCTCAAGTAAGATACATGTTATTTTTAGATCAGGATGTATCTGAAGGGTACACAAGTTACATTGGTTCTAGAAGGGATGTATCTGAAGGGTACACAAGTTACACTGGTTCTAGAAGGGATGTATCTGAAGGGTACACAAGTTACATTGGTTCTAGAAGGGATGTATCTGAAGGGTACACAAGTTACATTGGTTCTAGAAGGGATGTATCTGAAGGGTACACAAGTTACATTGGTTCTAGAAGGGAAGTATCTGAAGGGTACACAAGTTACATTGGTTCTAGAAGGGATGGAGGGGAATCAATGCATAGAAGATTCCCACCCTGTCAATCAACTGATGGACATGAAGAGATACCAGTTGTCTTCCTAGATCAGCTCATATTGATGTCTTCCTAGATCAGCTCATATTGATGTCTTCCTAGATCAGCTCATATTGATGTCTTCCTAGATCAGCTCATATTGATGTCTTCTTAGATCAGCTCATATTGATGTCTTCCTAGATCAGCTCATATTGATGTCTTCCTAGATCAGCTCATATTGATGTCTTCCTAGATCAGCTCATATTGATGTCTTCCTAGATCAGCTCATATTGATGTCTTCCTAGATCAGCTCATATTGATGTTTCTTCTCACCAACAGTCTTCTGGGACTCTGATGAGCCCCCCCCCACACACCCAGGAGTAGACGCAGCGCCACGACAGCTGTCTCAACCTCAGCCCGGGCAACTGGCGTGGCTCAGTGAAGGTAATGTCACATCAATCAGTAATGTCACATCAATCAAATGACCACGTTTACATGCACACCAATATCCCGTTAGTATTCTGTCAAACAAATCACTTCAAAAAGTAAGCTACCTGCGCTGTTCGATCCACCGTAATAATTCCATAATAATTTATTTTGCTGATACTCCGTACTGGACCCTATTGCCTACTGCAAGATTCCCCAACTTTTATTTTTTATTTCTTTGGAAGTAAAAGACTGTAGAAACACCAGTAAATCAGCTCCAAGTGATTTTAATTTAAGAAATCTGTTCCCAAGTATTCCCACGGATAATAGAGAGACGTGATCATATACAAATGTAAGCAAGGTTTGAAATGATTATGTTTTTGTCAAATATTATACCCGTTTGAGCTTCTTGCGGTCAATTTGCATTCTACAAATTATTTGTAATTATTTGCCGGCCCCCGACCGTCCGCTGCTGAATCTAGTTAATGATCCCTACTGGCTACTTTTAGCCCTAATTTAGATATGTTTCTGCTTATAATTTCCGACATTTGGTAGGCCATTTGTGTGTCATCTATAGTTAGATGCATGCAGGTTCTCTTCTGTCATAACTTGTTGCCCCAGAAGGCTGAATAAAATAGTGCTCACCAGAATGTCTTACATCGATAGAATGAATGCATTGGTAATCTAGTTAACACCAGTGAAGTTGCCTGGTTCGTTTAGGGACCAGGGAGAAAACGCAATAACTCAGTGGAAAGATTGATCCTGTGCAAAATGTCAATATGTCATCAGTTTGACCGGTTTTAAGGAAATGAAAAGCTGAGAAAAGTATGAAACATTTCTGATAAGACTTCAGTTCGTTTTGGGTGCATATTTTATGTGGTTGAAATACTGTCTGCTTGCATGACAGTGTCAAAGATAACACATTACAAGCGCAATTCGCATTTCCTCAAGAGATGCTGAAATAAATAAGATACAGTATTTCTCCACTCTTGTTCCCAAGACAAAATTAACATTTGTTGTATCATTTTACTGCAAGAAATGCATACATGTGAGAGGTTATAGGCCTACAGTCAGTGTCCATATTTCAGTCACTATTTCATTTAACCCATATGAACTTAAATGAGGAATATTCTGTTTATTCATGGATACATGGATCTGTCTCTGTCCATTCATACTTACGTAGGCCTACATCACAACACCACCCAAGGGGGGGGGGGGGGGGGGGGGGGGGCACTGCATCATTCATGGGGGACCTCATGTTTACTGTTGCCTTGTTTCCTCTTCCTGTTTTCTACTCTGGTAATGTAGTACTGTGTGAAATATATGCTTTAGATTGTCGAGGGGCAGGTGGGTATGACAGCGAGGGGAACCAAATGATTAGTAGGACTTGGGGCCCTGGCATGTGGACATTGATAATAACCCAGCTTACCCAGTTAATTATAACCCAGTTTACCCAGTTAATAATAACCCAGCTGACCCAGTTAATAATAACCCAGCTGACCCTGTTAATAATAACCCAGTTTACCCAGTTAATAATAACCCAGCTGACCCAGTTAATAATAACCCAGCTGACCCAGTTAATAATAACCCAGCTGACCCTGTTAATAATAACCCAGTTTACCCAGTTAATAATAACCCAGCTGACCCAGTTAATAATAACCCAGTTTACCCAGTTAATAATAACCCAGCTGACCCAGTTTGGACAAGGATGCCAGTCAAACGCTGATCGCTGTTCCTCAGTATGTTTCTCTGCTGATCGCTGTGCCTCGGTATGTTTCTCTGCTGATCGCTGTGCCTCGGTATGTTTCTCTGCTGATCGCTGTGCCTCGGTCCGTTTCTCTGCTGATCGCTGTGCCTCGGTATGTTTCTCTGCTGATCGCTGTGCCTCGGTATGTTTCTCTGCTGATCGCTGTGCCTCGGTATGTTTCTCTGCTGATCGCTGTGCCTCGGTATGTTTCTCTGCTGATCGCTGTGCCTCGGTCCGTTTCTCTGCAGATCGCTGTGCCTCGGTATGTTTCTCTGCTGATCGCTGTGCCTCGGTATGTTTCTCTGCTGATCGCTGTGCCTCGGTCCGTTTCTCTGCTGATCGCTGTGCCTCGGTCCGTTTCTCTGCTGATCGCTGTGCCTCGGTATGTTTCTCTGCTGATCGCTGTGCCTCGGTATGTTTCTCTGCTGATCGCTGTGCCTCGGTCCGTTTCTCTGCTGATCGCTGTGCCTCGGTATGTTTCTCTGCAGATCGCTGTGCCTCGGTCCGTTTCTCTGCTGATCGCTGTGCCTCGGTATGTTTCTCTGCTGATCGCTGTGCCTCGGTATGTTTCTCTGCTGATCGCTGTGCCTCGGTCCATTTCTCTGCTGATCGCTGTGCCTCGGTATGTTTCTCTGCTGATCGCTGTACCTCGGTATGTTTCTCTGCTGATCGCTGTGCCTCGGTATGTTTCTCTGCTGATCGCTGTGCCTCGGTATGTTTCTCTGCTGATCGCTGTGCCTCGGTATGTTTCTCTGCTGATCGCTGTGCCTCGGTATGTTTCTCTGCTGATCGCTGTGCCTCGGTATGTTTCTCTGCTGATCGCTGTGCCTCGGTATGTTTTCTCTGCTGATCGCTGTGCCTCGGTCCGTTTCTCTGCTGATCGCTGTGCCTCGGTACGTTTCTCTGCTGATCGCTGTGCCTCGGTATGTTTCTCTGCTGATCGCTGTGCCTCGGTATGTTTCTCTGCTGATCGCTGTGCCTCGGTATGTTTCTCTGCTGATCGCTGTGCCTCGGTATGTTTCTCTGCTGATCGCTGTGCCTCGGTATGTTTCTCTGCTGATCGCTGTGCCTCGGTATGTTTCTCTGCTGATCGCTGTGCCTCGGTATGTTTCTCTGCTGATCGCTGTGCCTCGGTATGTTTCTCTGCTGATCGCTGTGCCTCGGTCCGTTTCTCTGCTGATCGCTGTGCCTCGGTATGTTTCTCTGCTGATCGCTGTGCCTCGGTATGTTTCTCTGCTGATCGCTGTGCCTCGGTATGTTTCTCTGCTGATCGCTGTGCCTCGGTATGTTTCTCTGCTGATCGCTGTGCCTCGGTATGTTTCTCTGCTGATCGCTGTGCCTCGGTATGTTTCTCTGCTGATCGCTGTGCCTCGGTATGTTTCTCTGCTGATCGCTGTGCCTCGGTATGTTTCTCTGCTGATCGCTGTGCCTCGGTATGTTTCTCTGCTGATCGCTGTGCCTCGGTTCGTTTCTCTGCTGATCGCTGTGCCTCGGTCCGTTTCTCTGCTGATTGCCGTGTCTCGGTATGTTTCTCTGCAGATCGCTGTGCCTCGGTCTGTTGCTCTGCCAGGGTTTGGGCCTTAGGATGAGCTCACTGGTTGAGTGCCAAATGACACCCTAATCCCTATACAGTGCATTACTTTTGACCGGAGCCCTCCATGGGTGTCATCTGGGACACAGACCCAGTGTTTGACGTACAGATCCACAGAGTTGATGCACAAAGCCATAAAATAGAGGCATTAGCCTTCATCAAAGAGCTAGGTGGGAAACCACAGTTACACCACATGATGTGACACCTAGCCAAGTTGTAAAGTTAGATTAGAGGCTACGTGCTACTAGAATCCATTCTGAATGTTGTTGGCCTGGGAGGTCCAACCAGGGTTTTGCTGGTATAGCCGAGGTGTTGGACCTCCCTTTGACTTAAAACCAGTGTCCCTCTCGGCCCAAGTAGGAATTTCCACTTGGTCAAAGTGGTTAAGACGTAGGTTTCCCGGGCGAGAGATCGGGGTTCAGATTCCACCAGACTGGCTCAGAGTCACATGGGTAAATCCTTACCCCAGTAGGTACAGTATGTGATCACACATTGTGCGTCCCAAACGTGTATAGTGTACTACTTGTGACTGGGGCCCATAGGGCTTTGGTCAAAAGTAGTGCACTGTCTAGGGAATAGGGTGCCATTTCGGACGTATCCAGTCAGCTGCCATTGTTCCTACCAATCCATCACCAAGGAAGTAGCTTCGCCGTGTTATATCCTGAGCATTGTGTCCTGTTGGCAGTTTAAACAGCCAAGGAATCAGTAGGAGGCAAAAAAACATTTGATCTGGTTCTATCTAGATATATCTGGCCTGCTGCTGCCACATAATCCACATAACTGGACATGTTGCATTGGTGTCCCGCTGCCTCTCTCTGAACCACTTGGCCATGGGGAAACAGAAATCAAACAACTGTTGAATGTAGTGACTTCCTGCTTGAGATGCAGGGGGAGAGAGAGGCTAAGTCTGCGTCCAGAATGGCACCCTATTCCCTATGCTGTGTATATATATAGTGCACTACTTTTCACCAGAACCCTATGTGCCCTGGTCAAAAGTAGTGCACTACAGGGAATAGGGTACCATTTAGGACACAAGCCAGGGCTACAAAAGATGAGGCTATTTGTGGATGGTGAATGCCTCTAAAATAGCGTGAGGGTCTCAATACACGCCCCTCTTAGAGCCGTAGCTTTCTGTGAATGAGGCCCCCCCGGGTTCCAACCACCCCGGGACCATTTTAGAAACACAGGTGTTGACCTTAGTGGAGCCGCTGAGTGCTGAGGCTTGTGCTTGCTGCAGAGGAAAATGTAGCAAAAACACACGCACGCACACACACAGACACGCACGCACGCACGCACACACAGACACACACGCACGCACGCACACACAGACACACACGCACGCACGCTGTGGTACGCATATACACACAAACACAGACACACACAGAGAGTCCCTGTCCACGCACGCACACAAACACACACACACACACACACACACACACACACACACACAGCTCTGGCCTGTCCTCCACTGCAGCTGAAGCCATCCAGCTCTTGTGTCTGATCTGAACATGGCATGAAGCCTTAAAGATTCCTGGTGACATGTGGTTATTTAGGGGGTAGTGAGGAAATGGGCTATTTAATAGTATTGGCAAGGAAATTAACAACGGTGGAAATGACCAAGATGACTAAAAGTGAGACATTACATATTAATATAATTTATTATCCATTTGTCGGATCAATAAGGTTCTATTTGTAAAGGGGTTATAAAGGGGTTATAATAACGTTAACGCTATTATTTAATCATTTGTAAATGCATTATAAACCATTAATAAACGGTTATATCGCATTGTTAAAAATTGTTATTAAACATTTCAAAACGCACTTACAAATGCTTATAAGATTAACCCTTATGTATCATCATGCAACCTTATTTTCAATACTTGCACAGTTTTCTCCCTTCTGGGTGTGATGCATTGGCGCTCTGTCCCAGGAACCCACCTTTGAAACCCTGATGCCCTGGCCAAATTTACATCCAGGACATTATTCAATCATCATTCCTAACATATGACCCCTTCCCAGATTATACCAACACACTTACCACTTCTCTGTGATAGTGGTCCTCTGTAACGCCAGGGTAGTGGGTTCGATCCCCGGGACCACCCATACGTAAAAATGTATGCGCACATGACTGTAAGTCGCTTTGGATAAAAGCGTCTGCTAAATGGCATATTATTAAATATTATTATATTATAGTCCCAAGTATGGTGAACACTCTGGGGTGAAATGGTAACCGTAACACCTCTGGTTGGTGAAACAGTGAAGGAGGTATCCTCTCCCAATGTTGAATGTGTTGGTCTTCATACCCACGATTAATTGACTGAACATGTTTTTAAAAAAAGTGTTGAATCTTCTCTCATGTGCGTAGTGATGAATACCCAATACTGCCTCTAAGATTGTCTAAGCTCTGAGTGAACTCTCAAATCATCTATAAATGACTTACCCACCTGTATAACTGCTAAAAGCATACCTTATTTTAAAGTGACAGATATATAAACATTTATAACTGCGTTATCAACATTTATAACTGCTAAAATTATAGCTTATTTTAAAGTGGAAATCCACTGACCATTAACAAATGAGTTACCAATATTTATAACTTTAAAAAAGATACCTTAAAAATAAGTGGAAACCTTCTGGCCATTTAATAATGAGTTGCAAACATTTATAACAGTGTATAATCTCCTCAAACATTTATAACAGCATTTAATCTCCTCAAACATTTATAACAGCATTTAATCTCCTCAAACATACAATACACATTAAGAACAACATGTAATTTAGTAGAAGGATACATTGGGAAAACAATTTTAATTGCAGTGACTCAAATCTGTAGCCTATCGTTGGTATAGCGCGTAGCCTAGCTAATTCAGATCTTACCATTACAAGTCAGAATAGAAAACTGACAACAGATTAACTATTTAAAATACATCACAGTGTCTCATGGTTCCCTTCTGTGTTTTCATCTGTTCCTCTCTTGTTAAGCATTTCCCATCCTGGAGTCTGAGACCTTATGGGAATCTGTGGGAGAGAAAAGGAATTTATGACAATTTAGCATAAACACTCTAGATAACTCTACTATTACCGTTATAATTATTTATACAATTTTGGCTTAACTAGTTATGTTATCCACTGCTAGCTAGTTAATAATAATAGTGTTTAACATTACTTGCTAACACTACTAGCTAGCTACCACAGATTAAAGGGATTTGCTAGTTATCACAATTTTTGCTAATACACTAGCTAGTTAGCTAGCTAGCTAGTCTTCTTAAAACTGGAACCACTAGTGTGCTGACAAAGGATGCAAGCTAGCTAGCTAATTTACCAGCTACCTAGCTAGAGACAGTAATGTTACCCGAGTTCAAAGGTTAGATGACTAGCTAGCTAGCGTGCTAATCCAAAAAAGCTAGCTAAATAAATTACATCGAAATTCTGTCATGTCGATGTTAGCTAATGTTTGCTAGCTAGCTAGCGAAGCTAACTTGCCAGCAAACGTGATCTACTTAGGTGCACCTTGTGCTGGGGACAATAAAAGGCCACTCTATAATGTGCAGTTTTGTCACACAACATGATGCCACAGATGTCTCAAGCATGCAATTGGCATGTTGACTACAGGAATATCCACCTGAGCTGTTGCCAGAAAGTTGAATGTTAATTGCTCTACCATAAGCCGCCTCCAACGTTGTTTTAGAGAACTTAGCAGTACGTCCAACCGGCCTCACAACTGCAGACCACAGGTAACCACGCCAGCCCAGGACCTTCACATCCGGCTTCTTCACCTTCTTCATCGTCTGAGACCAGCCACCCGGAGAGCTGATGAAACTGAGGAGTATTTCTGTCTGTAATAAAGCCCTTTGTGGGGAAAAACTGATTCTGATTGGCTAGGCCTGGCTCCCAAGTGGGTGGGCCTATGCCCTCCCAGGCCCACCAATGGCTGCGCCCCTGCCCAGTCATGTGAAATCCATAGATCCAATTTATTTATTTTAATTGACTGATTTCCTTATATGAACTGTTGCTCAGTAAAATCGTTATATTTATATTTTTGTTCAGTATATATTCAAAAAGACGTTTTAGGTTTTACCTATTGCTAGCTAGCTAACGTTTCCTAGCTAGCTAGCGAGGACAGAGGTGCTAGAAAACGTTAGCTAGCTAGCTACTTAGCTAACATTAGCTGAGCAGAGTGCTAAATCAAATCAAATCAAATCAAATTTTATTTGCCACATGCGCCGAATACAACAGGTGTAGACATTACCGTGAAATGCTTACTTACAGCCCTTAACCAACAATGCATTTATTTTTAAATAAGAAAGTAAAATAAAACAACAAAAAAGTGTTGAGAAAAAAAGAGAAGAAGTAAAATCAAATCAAATATAGATGACATTGAAATATATAGATGACATTGATTTTAGCGTTGGCAAATTGGCTTAGTCTCGTAGTGAGGAGCCTATAAAACGTAGCTAGCTTCATAAACATCTTTTTTTGAATTCTGAAATGTATTGAAATAAATGACCAAACTATAAAACTAGCTAGCTAGCTATGGGTAACTGTAGCTAGCTACCTGACAGGAGTGCTAGCTAGCTACATTAATAGCTTTAGGTTGGTTGTTTTTAAACTCAATTTCAAGATTTCCAAGAAGGACGTTGCCTCTCCGACCACCACTCTCCCTCGCTGGGGCAAGGGACATTTAAGGTACACTCGGATGCGGGCTGAGGGTTTAGGGCCGAGGGTTGTCTACTTTGAATTTGGACTGCTGCCCCTGTCTCCTCTGTCAAATGTTTTATCTTGTGAACTACGTTTCTTTCGCGCAATCTCTTCTGCCTGTCCTTTGCGCTCTTCTCCTGATTCTTCACGACGCACTGTCACATGATGTCAGTATCGACGCAACATTCTGGCCACGTTCCAGGTCGTCTTTATTTTAACCGCGTTTCACAGATTGGAAGATCTCACAAAGTCGGGGGAATTTCTCTGAAACCAGCGAACCAACCCAATAATATTCCTGGAATAAATAAGTGTACCAATGCATCATCAGGGTTTCAAACGTGGGGCAAGACACATCATGGGAGTTGACCACTGGTCTGAAAACCAACCATTACTGTTCTGGGACAGAGCAACAATGCATCACACCCAAAAGTAACTATTGTTTAACTGTGCAACCATTTAAAATAAGACTGCATGATGATACATAAGGGTTCAATATTATACGCATTTGTAAGAACATTTATAAATGGCTAACAGCTGGAGGTAAATAGTGGCTCACTATTTGGCAAGCATTGACTGGCTACTGCAGTATTTTGACCAATTTGTTATAACCCATTTTATTAATGGTTTCTAATGCATTTACAAATGATTGATTAACCGTTAATAGCTTAATTGCAAACCCTCTATAAACCCTTTACAAATGGAAGCTTATTGTAAAGTGTTACCGTTTGTTGTTATGTTAATATTGGTTTATTACTAGAAGTGGGGTAGTCTTCTGAATTCCAAGACATGGGAAATAATAATAATAATATGCCATTTAGCAGACCCTTTTATCCAAAGCGACTTACAGTCATGTGCGCATACATTTTTACGTATGGGTGGTCCCGGGGATCGAACCCACTACCCTGGGCGTTACAAGCGCCAATTGAGCTGACGTCTAGTATCAGATAAATACATTTTTTATGGAGAGCTTCTAAGGTTAGATATTGTATCATGTTTGCTACAAGAGTTTCTTCAACCATCATCAGTTCACATTTCACATTTTCACATTTCTCCACTCAAACTCCATTCTATATATAGTTGATCACATGTCCACATATCAGATGTTACATCATATTCATAACATACCAAATGTTTGATCATATTTCAAAGGCTAAGCCGTCACTATTTCTAACTGGGTTGTGTTTTTAATACTGCTGTGGTCAATTTAATTTATTGCCTGGTTTGATGAAGTCATATGAACACCCACATGGAAGATTATTCAGACTCCACACATATCCTAGACACTACAGTAGCCGTCACTAACTCCACACATATCCTAGACACTACAGTAGCAGTCACTAACTCCATACATATCCTAGACACTACAGTAGCAGTCACTAACTCCATACATATCCTAGACACTACAGTAGCAGTCACTAACTCCACACATATCCTAGACACTACAGTAGCAGTCACTAACTCCACACATATCACAGACACTACAGTAGCAGTCACTAACTCCACACATATCCTAGACACTACAGTAGCAGTCACTAACTCCACACATATCACAGACACTACAGTAGCAGTCACTAACTCCACACATATCCTAGACACTACAGTAGGAGTCACTAACTCCATACATATCCTAGACACTACAGTAGCAGTCACTAACTCCATACATATCCTAGACACTACAGTAGCAGTCACTAACTCCATACATATCCTAGACACTACAGTAGCAGTCACTAACTCCACACATATCCTAGACACTACAGTAGCAGTCACTAACTCCATACATATCCTAGACACTACAGTAGCAGTCACTAACTCCACACATATCCTAGACACTACAGTAGCAGTC